GGTGTTTTTTTGTTCTTTTCGTGTCAAACTTTCGTTTGAGAGATTTCGTTCAAAACCGAAACTATGGGCTCCGGAGAGACGGTAATATACTAATCAGTTTTGATCATCTAAGGAAAGCGGCGATGACTATAGAATTGTCCCACAGAGAGCAACTTTTCAGCTAACTCGCATGCCTCGACCATGCGACTTATCTGTCCGCGAAATCGAGCTTTTGTGCGTATCCGCGTTTACGAAACAGCTTCAGTCGTCTGCTCGGCCAACAACACAGGCTGCAGGAAAATTACGAAAATTAAGCAAACGCTTCTTGAGCCAAGGACCATATTAACCCGCCGGCGCCCCACTAAGCAGCTGATATTTGTATTTCAATTTATGTATTATATTACATACTATGGGGGGGGGGGGGGGAGGGGGTGGTTCCCACTAAAGCGATATTAGTATATCCTTCGGGTTGAAATATGAGCTTAGTTGACTAGCTATTAGGTGAGCTGCTGAATAAAAGTATATTTGACAGACGGAGACATACTACTTAAACTTAGCCAAATGGTTCTATAGCCGGCAGCACGGGGACAAACTGAAGAGAGTCTTCATTGAAGATCCGCGCAGAACCTTTCTGCATTGAACGGAGAAAATTGGTATTCTTTTGTGGCCGGTCAACCTGACCAATGTAGACGTATATTGCTGTTGGCTTCGACGTCCTCGTAATATAAATATCGGAGGCGCGATAGGTCAAAATGCCGTGACAGCATCTAACGTTGCGAGACTTGTCTCCCACCTTTTTAAAACAGATAATTTCCCTCATTCATCATTTGCAATGAGCAAGTTTTCCTGAATCAAGTAATTGCGAAATAAGCCCAACTCCTTCAGTCTGGTCCAGAGGCTTTTTCGGCGAAAAGCAGCCAAGATGAACAGCCAACGCACCGACCGGCGTGGGTGGCTCAAACTTGAAGCTAACCGAACACAACCAAGCTCAAGAAAAGCAGCTATCGAACCTTCCCATTCACTTGACTGCAACATTGATGTTCCCTCCAGTATCAGTTACCAAGCAGTCGTCACTTTGAATGTGATTCGAGACAGACAAGAAATCAAAAAGTTTTTCCGTGATTCCTCCCCATCCAAGAAATCGAAAGCACGCGACCGTGTGCTGTGGAGTAAACGGGCTTTCAAACACGTAATAGAAGAAAACAATCTACTCAGGCTTCACCACACTAATGATCACTCAGGCAAACTTAAGAAATATTCGGACCTTCGTCAAATTACATGGTTCGCCACCGCGCCGACAACACGTCTCCGCGAAAGCCACCAGAGACGCGAAGGGGCGCGGAGCGACCTGGACCGGCTGGTTCCCGGTTTTCCCGCTTGGCGGCGTCCGTTTTGCTGGAGTCGCGAATAGACGATTGCAAGCTGGGCGACTGGCCGCCGCCATGTCTCTGCTCGAGCAGGCACGCCCGTGCGATTACGAGCTTGCCAAAGCTACGTTCACCCGCGCGTTGCACGCGCTTGCACGCATGGGGCACCACTTGTGGCGCCACGCTTGCAATTGTCTATAGGAGACCGTAGTATCGGAGTTTCTACGTCACCTTCAGGAGGCAATTGCGATGCACGGACTGGACACGAGGGCTGCCTCGGCGTTCGACTGTGGCTGCACTCTAAAAAAAAAAAAAAGGGGGAGGAGAAATAGAGGAAAAAGCGAAGTTCGTCTCTGTCGCCAACGGAAGGAAGGAAATTGCCTCCGTTCCTCCATTTCACCGATTTAGATGCAGCGCAACCTGGTGGAGCTTGAAAAAGGGACGAAAATTCCTCCCCCATGTTCACGGCGGCAGCGGCGGTCGAACCGCCGCGGCCGCCGCGAACATGTTCAATGGCGGTGACGGCAACTTGAGGGCTTGGGTACCGTCACCTAGAGCAATCCAACTACTGCCTATGCGCAGTGCTATGAGAGAAAAAGCAGAGCTGCGGGGGCTATCGGTGGTACACTAGTTTAACAAACAAGAAAGCGAGGCGCGTAGCGCGGCGTGTGTATTGCGAGAATCACGCCGTATGTGCCCGCTTCGAGGTCACGCTTGTTCATGGTCGATGAAACCTTGCTGCTGCGATAAGTAAAGGTGGCGACTTTTCATTCGCATGGGAAGTACGACCACTTTCGTCGCGTTACTTGCTACACGAAAAGTTGACATAGTAGAGAGTTTTAGAATAGGGGGTCCCAACGCTCTGGTTAACCCTACGCTTTGGGGTACCCAACGCAACGACACCTCACGCAGCGTGCTTATAGAATAGGGTTTGTGACGACGCAACGCGGCACGCTCGCCTTTTTCACATGCAGCGCCATTGTGGACAACGAACGAACTTCTTAACAGTGAAAATTATGAAAACTTAAAACATTTGCGCTGAAACGACACTTTATTGTGGCTTGCGGTTCAAATAATAGGGAGGGTAACACCAGTTGGAACGGCACAGCAAGACCCATCTGCCGACCGTCTCTGAATCAGAAGATTTACTTCTCTGGTCACAAGTAGGGTGCTTCAATGACCTTCTGTTTAGAGTGATGCCACCCTTTGTAGTACCCGATGCCGACAACACGCGCTCACGGGGAAAACATAAAAGAAATCGACGAAAACAAAATGTCGCCATAGCACAGTCAGCGCCACAGACGCGTGCAGGGACACGCTCTTTCACGCGCTTCTGAACAAAAAATAAATGTAAAAGTGGAAACAAAATGGCCAGATGTCTCCACCCTAAGCAAAACGCACATGAAGGCACCCTAGTCACAAGAGAGTGCACGCCCTCAAATACCAGGCTATCATATGCCCCAATGGAATTACCTGCGAGCTCGACGGGACCATTCCCCGGTCACAGGCACGACGCTGGTAGGTGTAGCTTGCTTTTAGCCCATCCTGTAGTTGAAGCAGCACGACAGTTATAGAGAGTTTTATAATAGGGTGTCCCAAAGCTTTGGACCCCAAAGAAATAGGGGCTCAGCACTGCGCATGCGTAGAACCCAAACTCCTTTTGGGGTTTTGGGTTTGCTCGCGCCCCCAACGTGAAGTTCAAAAAATAGCGTGGGGCCCCCCAAGTGCTTGGGGCCGGGTTGTGTCGGCAAACATGGCGGCGCCCTTTCCGCTCGCTCCCGTGCAAATTCGTCATGGTCGCTGCAGTATTAGCCAATTTCATTGCCAATGAATAGTGCAACCGGCTTTCGCTTTGCTTAATCTCGCTCAAGTCACAAAGAATGAGCGGTGGGCTCACCCCATCTTAAAGAACGTACCCGATCCTGGCCGTTCCTAAGCCTAAACATACGTCGTAACTGTTGACATGGTGACGTATTGCTACGCCGTGGCTGAAAACTCGTTGACTCGGACCCATTTTATTTTTTTTATTTTTTTTTTTACGTTACGAAAAGTCACCGGGAAATCTGTGCTTCGTATTAAACTGTGCCAGCAGCAGGTCGACCCGGTCGCGGATGGCCCGCGTGGGGAAATTTCTTCCGATTGCATCGGAGACCCTTTCGGCAATTGAAGTCCATCTCCTGGAATCCTGAAATGGATACCAGGGGGGCCCCACGCTAAAAAAATAGCGTGGGGCCCCCCAAGTGCTTGGGGACGGGTTGTGTCGGCAAACATGGCGGCGCCCTTTCCGCTCGCTCCCGTGCAAATTCGTCATGGTCGCTGCAGTATTAGCCAATTTCATTGCCAATGAATAGTGCAACCGGCTTTCGCTTTGCTTAATCTCGCTCAAGTCACAAAGAATGAGCGGTGGGCTCACCCCATCTTAAGGAACGTACCCGATCCTGGCCGTTCCTAAGCCTAAACATACGTCGTAACTGTTGACATGGTGACGTATTGCTACGCCGTGGCTGAAAACTCGTTGACTCGGACCCATTTTATTTTTTTTATTTTTTTTTTACGTTACGAAAAGTCACCGGGAAATCTGTGCTTCGTATTAAACTGTGCCAGCAGCAGGTCGACCCGGTCGCGGATGGCCCGCGTGGGGAAATTTCTTCCGATTGCATCGGAGACCCTTTCGGCAATTGAAGTCCATCTCCTGGAATCCTGAAATGGATACCAGGGGGGCCCCACGCTAAAAAAATAGCGTGGGGCCCCCCAAGTGCTTGGGGCCGGGTTGTGTCGGCAAACATGGCGGCGCCCTTTCCGCTCGCTCCCGTGCAAATTCGTCATGGTCGCTGCAGTATTAGCCAATTTTATTGCCAATGAATAGTGCAACCGGCTTTCGCTTTGCTTAATCTCGCTAAAGTCACGAAGAATGAGCGGTGGGCTCACCCCATCTTAAAGAACGTACCCGATCCTGGCCGTTCCTAAGCCTAAACATACGTCGTAACTGTTGACATGGTGACGTATTGCTACGCCGTGGCTGAAAACTCGTTGACTCGGACCCATTTTATTTTAATTTTTTTTTTTTTACGTTACGAAAAGTCACCGGGAAATCTGTGCTTCGTATTAAACTGTGCCAGCAGCAGGTCGACCCGGTCGCGGATGGCCCGCGTGGGGAAATTTCTTCCGATTGCATCGGAGACCCTTTCGGCAATTGAAGTCCATCTCCTGGAATCCTGAAATGGGTTAGTGGCATACACTTCGCGTAGCACATAAATGTCATCGTCGATCAAGAAGCGAACGCGCGCGGGAGCCTTCTCTTCCGCCATTTTCTTCTGGCCTTGAATCGGCCTCGACTTGTTCGGCCACCCCGCTTCGGGTGTAGCCGAAACAATCCAATCCGTAGCGCTCTAATTTGGCGCTTGTTCTCGTAGTAACATGGCCCCTTCAGGCGCGAATTAACAATTTTTACTGGAAAGATAATTTGAGCTTATTTATAAAAGCAAAAAAATACATGAAAACTAAATGTAGTGTCAAAAGAATTTTTTTTCTCGTTTTTTTATGTTTTTTATTGCGTCCACAATTGTGCACATTGCGCGCGGTCCAAGTAGGAAAATTTTTTAAGATATTTCAAACGGCTTAATACACATTTTCTTGACACATTCTTGTGAGAGAAATAAAAGAGAAGGGTGTTTCATCTAGAAATCTCGACCCCCAGATCTGCCAGCCTAATTCGTATGAAACAGGAAGAAACAGTTCTTCTGCGCCGACAAACAAAGGAAAATGCCGCACTTCTTGCAGCGAATTCGGCTTTTTGAGCTGCAGTCTTCTCGTCTGCACCGTTGGGCAAATGGCATGCTGACATGTTCTGGCCAGTGATAGCAGCCGTCATACCGAACTGTGTTCGTGGGTAGTGGCTCGGCATTGTGAGCCTTCTTTGCCACCGGCTGGGGACTTTCATTGCTTGGCCGACCGCGCTTCTTTTGGGCCGTGTTGTTGCATGTTATTAGGCTATGGGCGACATCTGTCTGGAATGCCAGCATGTCCATAGTGTTCTTTTTGAGCAGCTTTTCCTTATCTGCGTCTCTTACATACTCTAGCCAACTGTTTGCCAAAGAGAAAGAGGCGAAGTGAGATATTACTCTTACGGTCCATTTCTTCGTTTTCGTCCGCATGGGGTAGAACGACATCACGAAGTCAAGTTTGTCGACTCCTCCCATGTACTTGTTGTACTGAAGAATTACATCAGGGCAGTCTATGTCGATGTGCGTTTTTCTGGACTCGCTCCACCTCTTCACCTTGCCGGTGTTTCCGGTTCCCACATGCGTTGAGGCCATATTGACCACGCCATTGTCTTGCCAACGGACCAGCACGATGTCTCCTTCTTTAGAAACTTTGTGATCAGTGCATCCTCTGCCTTCTGTCTTCATCTGTTTTTCGGTCTTCAGCTGGCATCCAAGCAAGCGGTTTGCTCTAATCGTGCCGCTCGCCAAGATACCTATCTCCATCAGTTCAAGAAAAAGCTTCACTGATGAGAAGTAGTTGTCCATAAAGCACTTTAGATTTTGTCCTTGCGGCATTGTCTGGACAAGTCGCATCACAACGGAGCCACCAAGTCCGAGGTGGGAATGCTGCGCGCTCACTCCAGTGCCTTTGCCTTGGTATAGCTCATAGTCATGTGCGAGGCCGTCGGAACTGCAGCGGACAAACACCTTGACCCCTTCTGGGTTGGGTTTTCCCTTGACGAACTGCTTCGCTGCAACGCGACCCGTAAATGCAATCATCTGTTCGTCCACGCTGTTATGCTCGAGAGGCTGCAGCAGCAAGCATCGCTGCCTGACTGCTTCAATGACCGGACGAACCTTCCAAAACTTGTCCTGGCTGTTTGGATCTCGCGGAGCATTAGACTCCGAAATGCGTAAGGCGGCTCTGACCTTGAAGTACCTTTTCGCACTCATTGCCTCAGCAATTGCCGGAATTCTTGTGGCAGTAGTCCAGTACATCCGCACTCTTGGGAATTTCAAAACCCCCATGAGCATGAGCATTCCAAAGAAAACCTTGATTTCTTCTTCGGTGGTTCCAAGTTCAGTGCCATCTCTCTGAAGCGCATACATGCTTGTAAATTTAGCAAAATCTCGAAAGATCTGAGGTGAAAAATACCGGCTAAAATACACCAGTGGCTCCTGCGGCACTGAGCCTCCTTGCAGTCGATAGCAACAAGCAGTGTCAGTGGGAGAAAATTCTTTCGCTTCCCATTTCACAGAAAACTTCTTTGATGCGATGCGGTCTTTCGGCTGCACATGGACAGCCTGCGAGCTTCCTGGAGTTCCTGAAGTGCTCGTTAATTCGCTGCTCCCGGCATTAGCGTCCTGCAATAAATACGTTTTTACTTAATTTAACAAAAAAAGCTAAAAATAAACTTGCACTTACTGTGCTTTCCAGGTCAGCTTCGGCGGATTCATCATCAGAAAAATCCCCGTCCGAAATATCTCCATTTGCAATTTTTTCCAGCAGCTCTTCAGCCGTCTCATCATCCAATTTCCTTCTCGCAGCTGCGTGATTCTGGATATCTGTAGGAAATCACAGGCAATTTATGTTAGACGTGTTTCGCTAGGAAAGTAATCCCCTACTCCCAAAGAACCTTTGTGCGAAAGACTGCCTTCAGGCGCGATGTCAACTAATGGGGACGCGAAACTACAACAGTCCTGTTCAGTATTTTGTACTTCGACTGCGATAACTGCAATCGTCATATCGCATCTAGTGTATCCTTAAGTACATGCAGCTATTTTTTCATTTTTGCAAGACATGCTGCATTATCAATGAAAACTTCAAGAAAAGAGAGCCACTTACTCGTTCCGCCATAGAACGTCGAGGCGTCCATCCTTCCACGAGGTTTCTAAAACGTTTCGCCGAGATTTCCCGTGATAGCGCCACAGGTCCAGAGAGAGCAGCGTCCACAAATGTAAACGGTGCGCTTCAAAGGCAATTTCTCTTCCGTGTACTATTTTAGATTGGCGCGTAAACGTGGCGTGCACATTTGTGGATGTGGCGCCCGAAGGGGATAGAGAGTTGAGCTAGCTGGTACTTAGAAGACATACCTAATACAGCGCACAAGCACAGGAGCAAGATAGCAAAACACAGGAAGGGGCGCTGGCTCCCAACTTATGTATTGTGAAAGAAAGAGAAAGAGGAAGCTTTAGACATGAACCCCACGTTTACCCACGTTGTTGTTTTTCTTTCTTCTTTTTTCTCCTCCTTTTTCGTCGTGACCTTATAATGTCAGTTTTCTCCTTTTCTACTGCAACTTAGTAATTTATATGTTTTTATTCTTTCTTCTTTATACCTTATGGGTCCGCGCGGGGCTTCATGTCTGAAGCTTCCTCTTTCTCTTTCTTTCACAATACATAAGTTGGGAGTCAGCGCTCTTTCCTGTGTTCTCTTTTCGGGGGATCGGTGGCCGAGTGGGCTAAAGCGCACACCCAGCTCGACGCGCGTGGAGCGAAAGCTCGCGCTGTAGAACCCAGAGATTCTATGTTCAATCCCCACCCTTGCCCGTTTCGATCTGGATGACCACCGTACCGGCGTGCGGTCGTGTATCACTATTGCGTGGTGCACGCGTTAAAGACCCCAGGCTAGCGATTGTACCGCACTGGCTAAATTGCTCATCTACAGTGGGTAACAGTGTCGCCATGTTCTGGCAGACTAAACTCCTGCTGTATAAACGACTAATTTTTTTTTTTTTTTTTTCTATTTTTTTTTTTTTTGCTTGCGCGCTGTTTTAGGTATGGCTTGTTCTCGAATTTTTTGGGCGTTCGTGTGCGCTTTGAACATATGCAGCCAAAGATTTTGGCCTTCAACTATGCCGAGACTGAGACGAACGCGAGCGCGCATACTCTGCGAGCAGCTGCACAATTTAGACTTGAGCTGGAGCGACTGTGAAGCCTTGAAATACTTGTTTTCAAGATGCAGGTATCGTGCCACGAACGAAATCTACTCGGAGCCACAGAGTAGCAATACGTTGCCATGTCAACGGTTACCGCGTATGTTTAGGCTTAGAAACGGACAGAATCGGGGACGATTTTTAAAATGGGGCGAGCCCACCGCTCATTCTTTGTGGCTTGGGCGAGATAAAGCAAAGCGAAAGCCGGTTGCACTATTTATTGGCATTGAAAAGGGCTAATACTGCAGCGACCATGACGAATTTGCTCCGAAGCGAGCGGAAAGGGCGCAGCCATGTTTGCCGACGCAACCCGGCCCCAAGGGCCCAAGCGCCAACCCAAAGCCCCAAACCTAGTTTGGGTTCTGCGCATGCGCCGTGGTGATCCCCTATTTCTTTGGGGCCCCCAAACTTTGGGGGCCCCTATTCTAAAACTCTCTAGTAAGCCTGGAGGGAAGGAACAAAAAAAGGACGGACAGACAGAAAACTATGTCTATCTATCCTTATACCAGCTCGCCTGCCTATTTGTTTTATCTTTAATAACAAGTAGGGCACAAGAAACAAATCATCATAATTTTGTTTTTTCTTTCTTTTTTTTGCGTGATTGTCGTTTTATTTGAGTCGACATTTCGAAACGTTCCTAGCTCCGTCACCTCCGCGAGAAACATATACTCTTTAAATAAAGCGTACGTACCATACAGCGCAAGGTATTCCGTGCGGCGTTTATTTCAGTTCTGTTTAAACAGAACAGCATATCCAGTCGATAGGAACGAGCACTGCGTTGTGGCGAGCGACTGCGTCCGACACACTCTGTAGTCCGTCAACATCGGGACCACAACCGGCACGCGGGAACACGCGTTTTTTTTTTTTTTTTTTCAAAACCATAGCCCCGCAGAAGAAATGACACTGAAATAACGATTCGGCGAAGGAACGAAGCAACAGATCTGGGAAACAAGGTCAACTATTAATTCGGGAAGAGTCCACTTGGAAGAAAGGGTAGTACAGACATTCCATTCTGGTTGCGGGGTGAAGTGGGGGAGGGAGGCCGGATCCGCGGTTTCGAAGGAACGGATGATTAACCTCAGCGGACGGTTCACCGCCGCTCTTTTAGTTTATGCGGCATCTGCTGCTACTGTGTGCTATATATCAAATAACGCCCTCGCAAAATAATAATAATAATAATAATAATAATAATAATAATGAAGCGAAGCAAAAACCCCGTCACACTCTTCTTTTCTTTCATGCGGCCGACATAGTCCATTATCGCGCGGTTCCTCTCGTGCTACGAAATGAGCGCGGCTGTTGTACAGGACCACACTCTAAGAAAAAATGGAGGAAAAAAGTAGCAACGGCGCGTCTTCCTCCCTTCTACTGACGCGCCCCCAAGCGGACACGAGAAAAGGGGAGGAACGAAACGTTTTTCTCTTCTCCAGGAAGACGGGAGAAAGCTTTCGCCCTCCCGACTCTTCTTTCGGTTTCGTTTTTCGAGCAGGCCGCGCACGTTGTTTAATAAAGAGCTGTTGAGTTGATTGAGCTTCAGTGGCAGCGAAGGCCGCCTGCAATTCCGTCTTCTAGTCTAAATGTGCAGAACATTTCGGTTGCATTGACGTTTTCATCACTAATTTTATCAAACGAGCAAACGAAGCCGCTAGAAACAGCGAAGTTCCGGAGCAGTGCCAAGCGCCACGTACACTGGGAGATGGCCGTCTCCGGATTGTAGCGAAACCAGTAGCGAAACCACGCGGAACTGTGTCGACGTTTTCGACATTATGGAAACCGCAGGAACTGCGTCCAAGGCAGGCAGGTTTTGCTGCCGGCTGCCTGGGTGCCTTCCGTGCTGAGTTCGGTTCTGTTTTCCGATGCCGAGTGCAACCGGCGTTCAACGTGGTTCTGTATTTGTGCGTGTCAACAACATAGCTGCAACATCGTGATGGCAGTGTCGTGGGTTGTGAACAGAAGACTGGAATTATCGCCGATGTGACCGTGTGTTCGCGTATCAGTGGTGTAACAAGGAGGTGAGATCGTAAACTGTCGGGCATTGATGCCGCTGGTCAGGCCGTGATCGGAGGGGGCGGGGTGTCGCAGGTTGACATTCCGCTTTACATTAAAAAGTTTAATACCATTTGAGGGATTACGTGCAATCGATCAACGTGCGGATAGTCATGTTGGAACGCTGGTCTGAACGGTAAGCTCCTATCGTACAGTGGCCAATGTGACTGTCGGTTGTCTCGTCCCCGACAGCGATTGCGCTCTGGGGAAAGGACAACAGTACGAAATCGTGACGGAAAGTACGTATATTTACTGTGTTTAATTTAGCATTAAAAAACAATAGTAGGTAAAATCGGAAAAAAAAGCTATTTTATTTTGCTGTTTAAATATACTACGGTTCCTGGAGAAACTGCCCTCCAAGTGGCGCGCTGGGATGAGCGCTAGAAGTTTTGCTCGCCACGGCGTAGCTCCGTACCTGCCGCTAGTCGCAGCTTTGACTGCATTCAAGTTGATCGAAAAGCGATTTCTCAGCCCGTGAAGCATCACTTCCAGCTGAGTGAATATCCGCTCTACAGAGATTAATTTAAGACGGCAAATGCAGCTTTGCGCGAACAGCACAAATAGAAAAACCAATAGAAATACAGGCTACGACGTGCCGTGTGGGGAAACAAACTCATGGCTTCGAACCGCATTGGGGCGGCTTGATTTATTGGCTTTCAAATAATTACGGCATGATCGAGCGTTTACTTTTTAATAAGAGATTCATCCCCTGGGCCATTTAAAATACTCTCAGGGGTATGGCATTGCAGGAAAAAAATCAACATGCTGGGAATATATGTTATTGCTTAGGGAGTCACCGAAAAGTTTCGTACGTTCAAAACAACCAGTATAAAAGACGGAAACGCAGAGCACGGGTGTAGTGTTCGGGTTAGTGTTGTATTGATATTTGTGTGTGCCGTGTATGTGCTCAATGCAATGGCTCAATGTATGTTCACCTGATGCTTGTAATAAGCTTAATGTGTGTATAGTAGAGGATCCCCAAGCGCCGGAGAGCGGCTCTGAAGCGCAGTAGTGGCCTGGGAAGAGCAAATTATTTTTTGTAGAACATGAATGGGGCGGTACCTAGCGCCACCTAGCCGAGCTACTTGCAATTACTCTGCTTGACCCCGCGACCCCGCCGACCCCGCCATCTGGTGGCTAGCGATTCAACCTTTCACGCTACGCGATAAACAGTGGCTTCGAGTTTGTTCTTTCGAAAGCGGTTTTTGGTTCGCGGATTGAGTTTGCCCTTCTCCGTGATGTGCGGTTGACGAAGGAATTGTGACTCGAAGAACACCTAAGGTAAGACGCAAAGTGCGCGAAGTAACTGGGTATAGGTTGCCTCCAGTTTAACATCGCAGTGCTGTCGACTAGAAGACTGATTAACTGCTTTCGAAACGCCTGTAGCCGGAATCTGGCTTCGGAAATAAACACAGTTTGCGGAAAGCTCGTGTTATGCTTTTATTTGCCGCTCCTGTCGTCCCGTACAAGAGACGTAGCGTCCTCGTCAAGCCTTATTGGGCTCGATTTGCTCGATTCGGGGCCGCCATATTGAGATGCAAGCGACGGAGGAACTTTGCTCCCCTGCTTCAGGGACGAAAGTTTCTCCCTTTCTAAAGGAACATAGGTTACAAGACCGTTCCTCTCCTAAGGGAGGACTATCCATACCCTTTTTTCTAAGAGTGCAAGCCGACCGGCGTCAACAACGTGGGTCTCAAGTCTACTCGTCGCAAATATAATGGGCGCACTTTTAAAAGAAGCAAGGATGAACATAAGCTTACTCGATAATAAATTAACGTTCTATTTAGATAGCGACATGAATAGAAGATTACTAACAATTGCTGTACAAACTTTTATTTTAGCTTTAGTGTCCGAAATAGGTGCATTACGTTAACTCTCGTAATACTAGATTCTGC